GGGGGGGGGGTGTTAGAAGTAAAGAGTAGTGACAGATTATCAGTGGAATATTATGACTGTATTAGAATTTGCCTGAGTGATCCAGGAATTAAAATCTAATATCCGACGGGACTTGAACCTTGACGAAGTCCTGGTACAAACTAGAGTGGGTGGATTGACTTGCGAGTTTCGATGATTTTGGGAGCAGGACCATAGGGTCAACCATAATGGAGAAGTTTATGCAAAAAAACCAGACTAAGACAAGCCCCTGAAGGAGGGCACCAGTTCTTTCAGTAGTCAGGGCGGCAGAGATCATGAGGATCGGTATGGAACTCTGATGCGCAATACTGCGATGTGGAAGGCAACGGGAAACCACCACATTATGATATTCCAAAAAAAAACACGCCAAACTCGAATGATGACGTCCTCTGGGGTAAAGCATTCCAGACGTAAACTAGTCCCTCAGTCGAATGTTCAGGCGGGGACTACCTCGGGGGATGTCATCAATCAGTGCAATAGAGGAAGGTGCATTATGTCACGAGTCGGAGCGTGGAAATTAGAGAACTTGAAAGTTGAAATGAATAGATTGCTAAAGGTGTATGTTTGGAACGCGGCGCTGTACGGATGCGAAACATAGACGGTGGGCGCGGTGGAAAATAAAAGGTTAGAAGTGTTCGAAATGGTGTTAGAGGTGAATGATGAAGATACCGTGGATAAATAAGGTCAGAAATGAAGAGATATTACAAAGAATAGCAGAATAGAGGACTCTATGGAAGTCAATAAAAAATAGTCGAGATAGATTGCTAGTATACCTTCTCAGGCTTGAAGGTCTAGTCAGAGACGTATTAGAGGCAGAAACATTAGTTAAAAGGAGTGGAGGTGCGTGTCTAACCAGTCTTATGATGATGATCGAGACGAAATTGGGTATTACTGACTGATAAACCTACCTTGACAAAGCATTCAAATAGAAAGGCGAAACGTTAATGTCGCTTTAACGAAATAAAATCTTTTTACCATTATTTTGCTTATTAAAAATTTTTACGACTTATACTTAGGGGGAAGAATTAGAAATAATTTTTTTTTATTTAGTACAGTAATATTTTATCTATTTTTGTTGGGCTGTAAGTAACTATATGTACATGTAGTATTTAGTTTTTCTTACCTTGAGGCCAGTCTTTTTCGCCTGTCCAACCACCTCATCTGCTGGTCCTGTTCAGTTTGTTCGTCCACACCGAAGAAAGTTGCTGTTTCTCTTTTAATAAAATTTTTAATTGCATCTTTTCGAGACATGGTACGTTCAAGTTTTGGCCTTTCTCTAGTTGGTATTCGCTCACTCTGGCTGTAATCAACTTTTCGCTCGGGCCGGCATCGTTCTGGTGGTGGAACTGGTAGAGAAACGGCCCTATGATGAACAGGTATCGAGGGGTGAGGCGAGCTAGGATGTGAAGTAACATCTTGCGATTTTTCCAACAGTAGCTGAAACAAAACGTTTCGTAAAGTTTTATTTCTTTATTTAGTATCTAATCTAACACAAAAACATATTACGAAAGAACTGATGTACAATTCTCAGGTTAGTGACTATTTATAAGCCTTCTATCAGGGGGTTGACAGGTTGGTTCAAATGTACCGGCCGGTCGACGCAACTTGCATGTGCAAAGACAGATGATTGATCCATTCGGCCCTTAACATTACCTTGGAGGTGGGAAAAAGTTCTATCTCGAGCGTTTTTAATGTTACATAATACTTAACAGCTGAGCAAGCGTTTCAGTTTGCTCACAACCTGCAACGGAGTACTGATAAGCGGTGTAGCGTCGCAATTTTCAAGGTTAATGTATGATGAAAAACTTGCAGAGATAAAATTGTCAATGTTGGTACCACAGTTATGTTTATAAAATAAACAATTAAACACAAACAACACTGAGCAGCCATTGAGGTTTTTACAGCTATTACAAAGAAAATTTATTTGAAACTGTTTGGATTATATTAATAGTTGACCATCGAAATTTGCCATACCTCTTATTAGCATGTACTATGAAAAGAGGGAAATGAAACTCCTATTTTTCGAAGGATTATGTAATATCCGAACAGAAGCAGTGTATCGCCATCTGGTGGGGATTTAGACGTTCTTATTCGAAAGATACTGTGCCAAACACGTGCACAAAACAAAAATCATTTGTAAAACTCATTCGTCCATGTTGCTTTTAAAGCAGCTAAATTTTAATTCAAATGAATTTATAATTAATGCTACCCTGCCACGCAAGCTGACCAGGTTTATTCTCGATCGATATAATACGTTCTTTTTCTTCTTATGTCAGGTAATATAACTTGGTCGAATATCGATTACATACGAAATCTAGTACTATTAAATTGTTTTTCATATCTCTCATTTTTTTGATCCTTAAGTAGCTTCATCAATATTTGGAGAAGTTTATGTGCCTTACTCTCTTTCATTGTTTAAAAATTCGTGAGTTTGAATAAGGGAAGGTTATTTTCTGTAGATTTAGGAATTTTCTCTACAAGGACAAAATAAGTAAGTTAACGGTAATCCCTATTTCATATTATCCGGTGCTAGATGGGCTAACCTCACGAAATTGAAGGGCGTCACCGATAACTTCGTCCTTGTCTTTATAGCCCGCACCATTTCCCTGCTCCTTAACAACAATTTCGACTTCCTCTTGTTGCTTCAGTTCGAGAGTTTCGTCCAAATTAACAAACTCTGGGGGAAAGTCGGCCATATCTTCACTTCACTAATTCGATTGCTTTTTTGACGGCACATAATTAGAAGGGCTTATTGCCGTTACTTGAAAAACGACAGATCAAAAAATAACTTTTCTTTTTGACTTTGACATTTTTTTTTAACAACCGAATAAAATACGTCATTTGTAATTTGCATAACTTTACAAGTACCCACGCGTTTTATCTTTACAATATTTTAATATATTTTTCGGTAAAAGTGACTATAAGGTGACTCAAAAACAGCCCATTGAGAGTGATTTGTGTGAATAGCATTAATGGTTCTTTACTGCTCTTGGAGCGTATTTTCAGAATTGTACAGGTGTGAAAATAAAACGTTAGAAGTGTTTAAAGTATAGTTTACGACACAATTTTTAAAATTGGTTCCAAATACTACAATGCTGCCAACATATTTAAACGGTCAAAGCGAGTAGGAACCATAGAGATGATACAATGGGGTACGAAGCTGTCATGTTAACTATCAAGCATAATGAAGGACATGACCATGACAGACATGGGAGTGAGTGATTTTTCCTAGGGTGGGAGGCAGATTTTCATTAGCTGCAAATTTATATAGTTTATATCCCCAGATAAAAATGTTCAGTCTCTCAGAGTCTCCGAAAGCGACACTCGAGTCTCCGTCTCTCATCCAGTCTCTCTGGTGTCGCTGAGAGAGACTGTCGAGAGACTTAAAAAAACTGTTTAGCGTCTCTGAACGAGAGGCTTGAGTCGCTCATAGAGAGATCCTCATTTCGTATCTAGTCTCTGAACGAGAGACTCGAATCTCTGAACGAGAGACTCGAATCTCTCAATAAGTGGTGTTTTGATAGACATGGTTAAAAGTTCAATATACTTCAGAGATCCCAGCCTTTCTACGAGAAACTCAAGTCTCTCAATTTTTCAGTTTTATTTATTCAGTCTCTCTGAATTAACAATTTTATCGTTCAAGTCTCCCATACAGAGAGTGTGAGAGATCCATAAAAACACCTAGGTAATAACTGAGAGACTGTGAGAGACGCTGAAAGACTCTGAGAGACTGCAGAGAGACTGAAAATTCTTGTCTAGGGATGTTATGTTATGTTTGATTAAAAATTGCCTACCCTTGCCCTCCCCCCTTTCTAAGCCTATGATGACAATACTGACTTGGCATACTTGTTAAAAAGTAAAGTTGACAGCAACTACGGAAGTTTGCCATTTTGTTTGTGAGGTCAACTTTAGATAAGAACATGATCCTCTATGGAAGTCAACAAGGAAAAGAAGAGATGGGATGGTAGGACATCTTCAAAAACATGAAGGGTCAGTTAAAGATATAACGGACAAGGAAGCCCTAAATTAGATTACTGTTGGTCGATCGATAGGGGTGTGGGATGTTCTAATTTTATGGAAATCCAAAGACTAAAAGTCTCCGAACTGATGACCTTATGATGATATAATGGATTACTTATTTATTATTGCAACAACAACTTGATAGGCAGTGTCACTGAAGTCAATGTTTCTATAATAGCAAATATGGAAAGGTTTTGTTAAGGCTTTTTACTTTATTTGTTATTACATTGATTTTTTTTTATAAATTCCTTAACGGATTCATATATGTAACAACTTTTAAATAATGAAATGTAGAGAATAACATTTTTTACGATCAGTATGTATTCCATTGCGCATAAAGTTCTTAAGGGATGCTTTAATATTGATAATGTATTCTCCGTGGATCCCATGTATAGTTATATATTTTACGATTTCATAAATAGCTTCTCAACTTCGTCATAAACATTCCATAGTGGATATTGACGTAAACCGAGGCATCTTGCAGACTTATGAGCCTTAAACGGATTTCCTTTTCTATCGTATTATGAGTATGAAGAGAAAGTCCTACCTCCTGTACCAAATTAGAACTAACCGTCTGAGGTTTTTTGTAAATGAAATGAGTAAATATTTTTTACAAATTCGAGTTACAAAACATTATTTTAAGATGTAGTTTCTTTTACATAGATTCCGCTTAAAGTTGTTGCCCATGTACCGTCCCCGTCCGGCCTGTACTTTATTATAATGTAAAGGAGAAACCGTAACGGTAATTGGGCGATTTGGATCAAAATCGGAGACAATTCCCTATTGAGTGTCGCGTTGTCTGCAATTCTGTACTTGCGCTAATTCAGGGCAGTAGTTATTACTTGCTAAATTCAGATTCAATACTTCATTCAGTGTGTGTTCACATCACTGGCGGCTCGTGATAAAATGGACTGAGTACTCTGCGAATGTTTGCTAACGTACTGACTGAAAGTTAATTCAATCCCACGATCCTTCGTAGAAACAAACTTGTTTATGTATGATCTTCTCGTTGAAGCTGTCATTTTTTGATATAATTGATTGTTGTGTGGGAAGCATCGATGGAGGTGCTATTGGGACATCTAGGACACTTGTGACACTGAATTTCTGAGAAAGTATCTGATTTTTTTAATGTTGAAAAGCACCTTTCGGCTTCTGATGTTAACATGGACGTTGTTGCAACAATTTGTTTGTTTCCTTAGGACATTGTTTAATTTATTTTGTGTTAAAATTTTCAAGAGTGGAATGCACCATTTAAATCTTTACAATCGTTTCATTACTAAACAACAGATAGCTCTATTTTAAGTTTCTTCTTCTACACTCATCATCATCGTCTGCAGGAATAAAAACACATTAAGTAGCTGGGTGGGATGCAACTCCATAACCCTTGTAAATTTCTGACTTTATGCTTGCAAGTGGGTGAAGAGGATAGTAGTGAGGATTTCCAAAGCAGTCCAAGGAACTGACTGGTACAACTTAACTCAATTAGAGATTCAGATAATATGGTCTACTACACATCGTTGGTATAGGACTGCCAGTAGAATGCGATTTCGTACTTCTGCGTCGGGTGTAGTGCAGATAGTCAATGGGACTATAGCTTACCTTTTGAGAGGAAATTAATTAAATTATTTTCTCTTTTGTATTTATATTGTCTGTCACATCTCTTCTCTCCAATCATCATCAATTGATTCCCTTTCCATTCCTAAAAGAAGGTCAAAGAGTTTCCTTATTATTAAGAAGCGTCTGAAGGTTGTCAACCGTTCAATTGGATCAATAATTAGCTTTTGGAAGGAAACTTCTCAATTTCTCTTTTGGCTTTATTTTACGTATCTCATATTTTCTCTTCACCATCATCATTATAAGGTCGTCAGTCCTAAGATTGGTTGGACACGCACCTTTACTCTTTCCTATCCTGAGCTAATCTTCGCATTTCCCTAAAGCTAGAACAACCCATATCCTTGACTATTTGCGAACAGTAATCTAATCTAGGTCTACCTCTACCCCTCCTAACTCCTGTTTCTGCCTCTAATATGTCTCTGACTAGACCTTCATGCTTGAGAAGGTGTCCTACCAACCTATCTTGTCTATTTCTTATTGACTTCCACAGAGTCCTCTGTTCTCCTATTCTTTCTAATACCACTTCATTTCTTCTCTATTCACGGTATCCTCATCATTCGCCTATCTTTACCAATTCTCCTCTTATTTCTAAAAGAATACTGAAGAGGTCTTTATTATGATGATTCGTCTGAAGGGTGTGAATCGTTCAATTGGATCATAACTTAGCTTTTGGGGGAAAACTTATTAAATTAATTTTTCTTTTGTCCTCATTTTGTCCATTTCATCTTTTATCTCCCACTATAATCCACTCACTCATTCTTCCTCCCATTCCAAAAAGAAGGCTGAAGAGTTCCTTATTATGATGACGCGTATTGAAGGTTGTCAACCGCTCAGTTGGATCATAGCACAACGGGGTTACTTTATGCAATGAGCATATTTTGTAAATAAAAATTTCACGACTGTTCTACTCATTCGACTAAATTATAAATTACTCTAGAGCAAGCGAGAAGCAATCTTACGTATGAGGGGTTGGGGCCAGTGTTCATTTTCAACGAACATTGCTGTACATATTCCGTCAGGTGTTTCTACAAAGGCGACCCAGTTTTGTTCAACGAGCGCACTACAGGCGGGATCTTGCTTACCTCTGTACACCTAACTATTGATTCAAAATGCTGTCAGCACACTGCGACGGTTGTCATTAAAAAATAAAAAACGGAAAAGAAAATACAGTAAACTAACGGATAACGTTTCAGGCGGGGATGAGACTGCGACAAGACCCGCGCCGTGGTGTAATGGTTGCAACAATTAGTTGTTGGCAAGCATGTCAATTACTTGACAATAGCTGCAGTGCCACTCGAGAAAATTGGGAAGTTGTGGAGAATTGCGTGGCAAAAACCGCGAGCGAAAAAATAAAAATTGAAATGTGAGTCACAAAGAAAAACATCAGCCAAAGTGGAGTATAAAATGTTATCTGGACTTAGGAGTGTGAAAATATTCCAATTATGTGCTGCGTTGGATTGTAACAATGGCTGTTGCAGTTTTTGCCTTGCTGCTGTGGGGTTTTTCTCTATTTGATACACTAACGAGTAACTAGCAACATTTACACGACGAAACAAAAGTCAAGCTGTGTCCATTTCACTGACAAGTGTTTCATTCAAAATAGTACTACATCACTCTTTTTATAATAATGCCACAGGATGAAGATTCTATACAGTAGATTCACTTCCCAACCACGCCCATATATCCCTCTCCTACCGACGCTTCACTACTTCATCTACGTGCTCTCCGCTAAGCAGGGGCTGCGCTGAATGTCATGATGAAGCCACTCAAGGAAGTGAACCTACTGTAATACAATCTTTGCACTGTGGTCTCGTCGTCTCCAGTCAATGTGCTTGAAATACGAATGCAACAAGGTCCACCTCTCGCGTATTTCGCAGCATAGGACATTTTAAAATGCCTCTATCGAATTACAACATCGCGTGAAAAGTTTCACTTCAAAAATAAGCATGTAATTTACCTGCTGCTCTTGCTGACTTTGCCTAAGAAGAAGTTGTTGACTCCCGTCGTCCGTGGTTTGAGATTGGGTCTGTGACTGCGTTTCGTCGGTCGCAGTGGTCGACGGTGACGACGATTTGTTTGAATTTTGAGACGAAGACTGTGACTGTTGCACAGACGTCGATGCAGCCTGCACAGGCTGTTGAACTGTCGTTGCCGTCACTTGCTGCTGTTGTTGTTGTTGTTGCTGTTGTGTTTGCTGCGACTGAGCCTGCTGTTGACTTGACACAGGACGCCTGAAATACAAGAATTACATTTATTTTATTTTCATACAAACAAATCACATACATATATACAATTGTAGTCAGTATAATGTTATGTATGTTCTCGTAATAGACGAAACTAGTCAAAGTTACAGTTATGGATTTCTAATTCATCCACCTTTTCCTAGTGGAACCCCATCCCAGCATTTAAAATTAAATTGACAATAGTTTCATTTTTTAAGATCCCTAGCCCCTCATTGTTGGCACTCTCGGGACTCTTGGGATCCTTGCACGGAACATCACGATTCCGCGGAATACTATTTCTTTCCACCATAACCAAGTCTAAGTCCTAGAGCGTAACTAGGGTTGCCAACTGTACTTTATTATAAAGTATTGTACTCTATTTCGACTGTGCGTATGTTATATTTTACAAGACACATAAAGTACGCAAAAATACTTTATTTAAGGCCTTAAGTAAACATCGTAATTTTGTAAGCGATTATTCGAAATTTAGAGTATTTTTACATCAATAATATTGCACAGAAAAATGGCAAGGCATATTTACGGAACAACCTGATTTCTCAAATCTATTCAAAGTAGTGTCAGTTTTGCTGTCCGTTCCGGCCAATTCAGCATTTACAGAAATAGTATTGTCTGTTATAAACGCAAAGTGGCGGGACGACAGGAATAAAGCTTCATTAAAACTAATTAAAAATGAACTTTGAGTTTACTTGTTTGCCATGTTTAGAGGCTATTAATGTATTTAAGAACGACAGCAATTTGTTACTGGCTGCTAGGTGTAACAAAAAATATGTTTTTAAAAACAAAAAATAAAATACTTTATTTTTATGTTGAGTACTTTTAGTCGAGAAATACTTTATGTAAAGCCTGAGAAGGTGGCAACCCTAGGCGTAACACTTAACTCTTAACATTTTTCACTAATTTTATAATGTAACTTTAATCTATGTTTATATGAATTAAGGAACCCACTACAGACATCAAGAATGGTTATAACATGCCATTAAGGTGTATGCAACTAACTACACGCCCGAATATAATCATTTAGATCCGCAAATTTTTTTTTTCACAATTTTATTACGACTAGAGTACGTCAAAATTGTTAATTTTTAGTTAAATATCCCAATCAAAACGAATTTGAAATTTTAGACCGTTTTGTCCACGTCTATCTAAATGACGGAGATACTTATGATCGCCTATACACTAGGACATTGTTATTTAAAGTTATTCAAACGATTTAATTAAATATGTGTCATATAGTAATAAAAATATTATTTATTTCAGTGCTCAATAACCCTTAAGTACAGATGTTAACAAATCCTTTCGAATTGCATTCACAATCCTCTTACAGCACTTTAGCGAAACTGTTTTTAATTTTATTCGTTTACTTCTTCTTTCGGTTCATTTTTCTTATCGTTTTTAGCCTCTTCTTTCTTTTCGTCAGGTGTATTTTCGATTCGAGGTAAACAAGTTTTTGGCTTGATGTTTTGAAATCTTTTAAGTGTTATTATCGGCATGTCTCTCATTTTGTCGGGCTTTTTCTTGGTCATGTCTCTTAAAACGTATCGCCTTCTTATTCTGCCTTTGTCCTTTTCCGCTTCCAACGACGAGTAAACATCCTTTTCGTAAATGGCTCTCTCTCTCATCCACATTCGCAAATACTCGTTCGTCATAACGAAACCCGTACAAATCCTGACGTCCTTTTCGTACGACGGAATGAAACCATAATTTCCCGATTCCCGGGCGGCAGACGACATAATACAATCGGGCCGTTTAATGGGCATGACGCGGGTGAATTTTAACTTGTAACGATCTTTCGACATTTTTTCTTTTTTGAAACGGTTTTTAAAATTCAATAAAATGTTATTTATTATTAGTATGACATAACTATGACATAGATGATTTATGACAACAAAAGTCGAACAGTTAGTAACCATGGAGGGTAAATGAAGCAGTAAATAACAGCTCAAAAACCCTCCAAAATGGTATGGTATGATGTAGCCGTTGTTGATGGATTGAAGTTAGAGTTAGAAAATTTAATATTTTTAGTGACTAGGGTGGTTAGTGACAGTTTGTAGATTAAAAGAAAAAAGAAAAGATTGAAGAAGGTAAAACTTTCCCTCAATGTGGTATAGAGAAGTAAATATTAGGAAGGGAGTCAGGCAGGGATGCACATTGTCACCGCTACTTTTTAATCTATACATCGAAGACGCCATTAACATCATTAAAGACAGTACAACTGTAGGGATAGATGTGCAAGGGCAAAAGATTAGTATGCTTAGATTTGCAGATGATATAGCAGTATTAGCATCTAGCAAGGAGGACTTAGAGATAGCTTTAAATAAAATGGAAACGGTACTGACAGATCAGTACTGTATGAAAATAAATAAAAGTAAAACTAAAATACTGGTATGCAAGGGAAGAAAAAGTAGGGAAAGGGCGAATATAATGATAGGAGATAAAAAATTAGAAGAAGTGGCTGATTTTAGATACCTAGGAAGTCAGATAAGTGAGGATGGAAGGAGTAGTAGGGATATAAAGCAGAGGATAGCGCAGGGTCGTGTCGCCTTTAATAAAAAGAAGTCACTTCTATGCTCGCGAACCGTTAATTTAGAAATTCGAAAAAGGTTGTTAAAGGTGTATGTTTGGAGCACGGCGTTGTACGGGGTGCGAAACATGGACAGTGGGAGCGGCGGAAAAGAAAAGGTTAGAAGCGTTCGAGATGTGGTGATATAGGCGGATGATGAGGATATCGTGGGTAGAAATGAAGAGGTATTGGAAAGAATAGGAGAACAAAGGATTCTATGGAAGACAATAAAAAATAGGCGAGATAGGTTGGTAGGACACCTTCTCAGGCATGAAGGTCTAGTCAGAGACATATTAGAGGCAGAAACAGGAGTTAGGAGGGGTAGAGGTAGACCTAGATTAGATTACTGTTCGCAAATAGTTAAGGATGTGGGCTGTTCTAGTTTTAGGGAAATGCGAAGTTTAGCTCAGGATAGGAAAGAGTGGAGGTACGTGTCTTAGGACTGATGACCTTATGATGATGATGATGAAGAATGTGGTATGCCCCCCTCCCCCTTCCTTCTATTGTCATCGCAGTGATGTTTAAAGTGTTCCTTTTATAGCCAAATCCGATCTTAACGTGTGGGTCGTACGATTTATTAACGACAAACTTTCATGTTTGCTTTGCTTTCATTGCGATATGAGAAAAGGAGGTAGACTTGCAATTTTCAGTAGTTTTAAAAAGTTTTGAATGACAGATATCCGTTTTGTAACTTTGGCGATTTAGAATCAGAAATTTGGCAACATCAATAATAATAAAAAGAAATTTTCCGATTTTTCGCGTCCTCGTAGAAAAACAATGATTCTAAATCTGATTAATTATTTCGAGATAAATAGCAAACTAAAGCCAAAAACAAGATGGACGATCGAAATGTAATTTATAATTTATATTGATCACAAATCATTGTAACTTATTCAGCTCTAAAAGAGAAAGGTGGAAAAAAGGGCGGAAGAACTACTATGGGAAGACGAATTTGGGTTTAGAAGAAATAGAGGAATTCTGGAGGCCATTTTAGTTTTCCGAGTAACAATAAAAAAAAAAACAGAAAAGCGAAACAGCTCGTACATAAGATTCGTAGATTTAGAGAAAGCTTTTATTGATAATGTCAAATGGGACAATATGTTAAATATACTTAAAAATAAAGGGATGGGATACAGAGATAGAAGAGTAATACATACTTTGTATAAAGAGCAACAGGCAGTTATAAAGCTTGAGTAGCGGGAATCATATAAGAAGTGACAAATTTTCGGTATCTAGGAAGTCATACAACTCAGGATGGAAGGGGCAGTAGAGATGTAAAGCAAATGGTCCAGTCGCACCATGCTCGCGGAAGGTTAATATAGAAATTCGAAAAAGATTGTTAAAGATTTACGGGTGTGAAGCGTGAACGGTGGGTACAGCGGGAAAAAAGGTGATGTTACAGGCTAATGATAAGGATACCGTAGATAAAAAGTTTAGAAATAGGTGAAATAAGTTGGTAAGACATCTCAGGCATGAAGGGCTAGCTGGAGACATATTAGAAGCAGAAACAGAAACAGAAACGCACTGTTAAGACAGCAGGTAAAAGTTGGTCTGTGTTCTGTAGGAGCTGTTTGCGACGCGCTGATGAGATCCAATCCTTCGAATTATTTTATTCGATTAAGCTAACGTGCATATCACGTTGAGGTTGGCTACGCCGGGATTCATTTTCAGCAAGTAGATATCCACACAAGTGGACCTTGTTGGAGCATACGTAATCCTAATATGTAGCATCGTGCTACAGATGGCGTTTACTGCGCCATTTGTAGTATTTTCAGAAACAGGAGTTAAGATGAGGAGAGACAGACCTACATTAGCTTATTATTATTAGATTAAATAGTTAAGGAAGTGGGATGTTCTAGTTTCAGGAAAATGCGAAGATTAGTTCAGTATAGGAAGGAGTGAAGGTGCGCGTCAAACCAGTCTTGGGACTGACGACAATAGCTCTCCATAGCAAAGAGTGGTGGTGTATGTCCAGCTAGTTTCAGGATAGGCGACCTTTTTATGATGATGATGATGATGATGACAACACTTGTATGGTTCCTGTGTTCTTTTGATTTGACTAATGACCTTTGGACCAGTGCGGTAAGAGCGAATTAGACAAAGTCTAGTAATAACCAAGTTAAAGATGGTATTGATGTCTTTGAAGACCTTCCCTTTTTTTTTGTGGTGATTTCCATTTTATCTTTTTTCGTTATCAGGATGGATTACGGCGTTTCGGCAAAGGCATTATGACAATGTCAATATTTATAAGATAATAAGAGGCACGTAGTCGATTTTCTCGTTCGTTATTACCGTCTCATTTTTCGACGTCGATCGTCGCGACGCAATCTGCAGAAATAAGCCTCGGACGTGACAATCTCGGACCGTGCGAGGGTCAAAAGCGACGGGCGACGTCGCGACGTCGACGCGGACGGCACGGCGTGTCGGTTAGATTTTCCGAGATTTGCGATCGGCAAGCTCGCCCGTATGGTCGATACGAGACCCTCTTCAGCTCATAAATTATTATATCGCGTCTCATTCACTACTTTTTTTTTTATATATGTCACCGTTAGCACACAAAGTAAAATCGTTCCCTAATCCCATGCTAAATCTTAAATTTTAGCGCGTTTTTATATTTCAGACTGAAATGAAAGTGAACAAAGAGAGTGAAAATATTATTCGACTTTTTATGTTTGTTTATATTTTTTATTTCATTCTTAAGATTCGTAGCACAATTCGTATACAAGTGTAGAAAAAAAGTCGCAAATACAGTTGAGAGTTTTCTGTTTCATACCAGAGTCTTTGAGAAATACAGATGAGCGTAGAGGTACTTCAAAATCTCATGACCCTTCACATGCGCGTATTCGTATTGCCCGTTACGAAAACATTGACTCGGCTCTCAATCATGTTCACCCGTCATACAACCAAAGTTTTAATGAGGTAGAAATTAATAGAACGGGCAGAATTTTGTAGCTGTGAAACCAAGGACAAGGTTTAGGAGAGTCTGAACTATCTCTATAACGTTACTATTTGAACGTATTCATTCAATCATAAGAAAGGTTTCAGTTTGAAGAGATATAGTAGATCAAAATGATATGACACAACAACTGAATGTGATAGTTCAATGAAAAATATCAATTATCAATCTTAACGACTCCTGCTCTTGAAAAAGGCTATAGGCTAATTGTGTCGAATACGTTAACATCTTCTTAAGATATTGTTATGAACGAATACCGTAAGCAGCGATCGATACCTGATTAAGCTGCCGAAAGCCGACAAAGCGGTCATAAATCACCCAGCGACAGCAGGAATTTACTGGAAGTTTCCGGATAAATTCAAAAACATTCCACGGCGTTGTAATAAATTGGTTTTAAAAATAAATACGAGGGTGGATTGATAAGTTTCCGGCCTGACCAAGAAAAACAAGGTTTTTAAAAATTTTTTTTTTTTATTTCTCAACATAATCTCCTCCAAGGCTGATACATTTCTCATAGCGGTGTTCCAGTCTATTAATGCCATCTCTATAGACTGATTCGTCAAGCTCCTCAAAATAACCATTTACAGCTTCGATTACTTCTTCATTGTCCGCAAATCTCTTACCGCCAAGCCATTTTTTGAGATTAGGGAACAGAAAATAGTCACTCGGGGCTAGGTCTGGAGAGTAAGGAGGGTGCGGCATCAATTCAAACTTTAGATCGTTGATTTTAGCCGTCGCAACGATTGACGTGTGCGCTGGTGCGTTATCGTGATGAAACAAGATTTTTTTCTTCGCCAGATGAGGTCGTTTAATTTTCACCTCGTGGCTCAAACGTTGCAATAAGTCTGCGTAGTATTGACCAGTGATAGTATTACCCTTTGCAAGGTAATCAATGTATATAATACCTCTTGCATCCCAAAAAACAGTAGCCATAACCTTGTTCGCCGAAAAAATTGTTTTTGCCTTCTTTGGAGTTGGTTCCCCTGGTCCAATCCACTGTTTAGACTGTTCTTTGGTTTCAGGAGTGTAGTGGTGGACCCACGTTTCGTCAACGGTTACGAATCGACGCAAAAATTCGCTTGGATTACGCTTATACAATGACAAATTTGCGGTAGAAATGTTTTTTCGAATCAATTTTTGGTCGACTGTTAGCAAACGCGGCACCCATCTTGCACAGAGCTTTTCCATATGCAAATGTTGGTGCAAAATATGTTGCACACGTTCATATGACATCTTACAGGTCTCAGCTATCTCACGCACTTTCAATCTGCGGTCTCCCAGCACTATTTGATGAATTTTTTCGATCATATCTGGAGTTGTGACCTCAACGGGGCGTCCTGAGCGAGGCCCATCAGAGGTGCTCACACGA